ACACTTACGATCAAACTCTTGTGCATTCTAGGCAAGCACCCCACCACCAAGCTCCATCTATCTTCATACCTACCTTTTGGTTTTGTTTTATGGTACTAGGACTGAATCTAGGGTTTGTGTATGGTGGGCAAGTACTGTGTTGCTGAGTCACCCCAGCTTATGATTTATTGTCACTACATATGTAGCTCAGGTGGGCTTTGAACTCATTATCCTCCTGTCTGAGCATCCTGAGGGCTGGGATTATAGGAATGCACATGGTTCTCAGCCTACATCTACTGTTTTTAAAGTCTTCCATTTAAGCCTTGTCTTAATCTTAGAGAGTAGGGATGGTCTGCTCATATTCAAAAAGGATCCTCCTGGACTGGGGAAATGGCTCAGTCAGTAAAGTGCTCATTGTGAAAACACGGGGGTTTGAATCCGAATGCACAGTACCTGCCAGGTATGGTGGTACACATCTGTAACCACAGCACTGAGGGAACAGGATAGGCAGGTTCTTAGAGATCACTGACTAACCAAGCTAGCTGAATTGATGAGCTCTGGGTTCAGTGAGAGACCCTGTCTCACAAAAATAAGATGAAAAGCATCAATACTTGATGTCAACCTCTGGCTTCACTCATACACTCACATGAACCCACACACCCACACACACACACACACACACACACACACACACGCACAACAGAAGCATCATCCTGAGTCCTTTGTCTAGGCCACATATCATTTTGTAGCCTTTCAATCAATGCGGAATGGACAAAAAGACTAAATTAGAAAAGGGAAATTAAAAAAAGAAAAAAATGCTTAAAAATTATTCTGTATTAATCAGATGAAACCCTGGGGACTCCAAATGTTGTCTCCAAAGAGTAGAAGTTATTCCAGGAACAAAAGAAAATATTAGATAGACTGGAGAGAAGGGTTAGAAACATTGTATTAGAAGACCGTTGAGCATAGCATAAAACTGTCCTTTTAGTTCAACTCCCATCTGAGTTTGTCTTTGAGAACCTTCAGGAGTAAGACACTTCACTATTTTGCTATTTCATATCTGAATGCCAAATATGTCCATTTCTGTGTAAATCAATAGATCTAGTTGCAGACTGTCAATAAAGTTTTATTAAATCAGTAACTGGTAAGAGTCAGTAGAGAGAACTGGCTATATCAACATAGGCTCTCTGGATGGAAGGAACTTGATAAATGTTCATTATTGCAACAAAGATATTCATTTGGTATATGTAGTTATTTATTTTCATATATTCCAGGCTGGTCTTGAACTTCAGATCTTCCTGCCTTTACCTACTGAGTCTTGAGGTTACAAGTATACACTACCATGCCTGGTTTATGTGGGGGTGGGGATTGACCCTATGTCTCATGCATGCCAGACAAGCATGCTACCAACTGACTCACACCTCCAACCTAGTGTGTGTGTGTGTGTGTGTGTGTGTGTGTATGTGTACACATATATGTTTCTTTTTGCTCAAGTGGTGTTCAGCAATGCAGTATTTATACATTAGCGAATATATCCCAGTGACAGGTTTTGGCAATTCAATGTTGGCACAGTAAAGAGAGAGAAAAAAGAGGCGTGTTAGTGGCCCTGGACTTTACCTCCTTGATTGGAAGTTACTATAGTAGCAAGATGGCTTGAGAGATGGATCATTAACACTAGGATCAAAGGCCGGAAGTTATGATGTTTAGCTTTTAAAAGTCAGCTCTGCCATGACTGTCGTAGCTTGCAACTTTCAGCTGAAAGCCACAGAATGGATGCCTGGCTCTGGCCTTGGTTCCTGGTTTTTGCCACATTCCTCCTGGTTTCTGGCTTGGTAAGAAAATTAGGAAAATTGGGGGCCCACTGATATCAATCATGTTTTGTTTTATGTATTTCTAAATGTTCATCTTAAATGAGCATTTCTTTCTGGTGGACAGGAGTCAGCAAGATATTGGGCAGAAGTCACTCTGCCAGAGAGGTCAGAAGATTGTGACTGAAAATTATATTTTCCTTTCAGTTTCTCTGTTGTGTGACAGGTTTTCTTTTCAAAAGACAGAGAATGTGAGCTTTGAAAGCCATTTTTGTTGCTGAGTGACATATTGATTGCTACTAGAGTAACTTGACAGGGGTCAAGACTGACAACTGTCAGATGCAATGTCCGCACTTACAAAGCTTAAACAATATGGGGTTTCTCTCCTGCATCTTTGTCAATCTAAACTATTCTTCCAGCAGTGATGGGTAGTTTGTACCCCAAGCTAATTCAAGGTCTTATACAAAATGTCTAATGGCCAAGGAAACCTTTAATTGGAACTTAAAATACATTATATTGAGCTGATGGTGAACAGATAAGAACTACTGAATTAAGATGTGAGGTGCTGCTTCACCATGTTCAACTGTGGCTTAGAGTAGCTCGTAAATCTCTTCTTCCATGCATGCCTGCACCATCTGTGAATGTGTGCTGTGTGATTACTGTGTGAAGAAACTAGGGTGCTTGCCGTAACAAGAGCCACCTGACCAGTTCATCCCCATGTCTTGTCAAACATTTCAGAGTATTCTTTATTTCAGCTCTTAGCTTGTCGTTGAATGAAATTCTACTTTACACCAGTGTGACACAGATTTCATTTTTACAACACGTTTTTTCCATGGCCTCATATAAACTCATGATATTCATCAATTCAGGTGGTGACCATGTCACACAGATCATTCGAGACCCAGGACGGTGAACTAAATTGACTTAGAGAACCCACGTATAACCCACACAGACTGTCTACCAGTCCTGCTGATTTCTTTCTAGATTAAGATTAAGGAATAAGTGATTAAGGAATTTCTCAGAAGGCCTGGGGGAGACAGCCTTCAGTAAAGCTCTTGCCACTGCAGGCAAGAGGACTTGAGTTTCACTCCTAGAATACATGTAAGAAGCCAGGTATGATCGCCTGTGCCTGTAATGCCAGTGCTGGGGAGGACAGAAACACAGGGCTTCTTGAGGCTCGTTGCTCAGCCCTCGTAGCCTAATTGGTGAGCAATGGGTTCCAGTGAGAGACTCTGTCAAAAAGTAGGTAGATGACTCCTGAAGAATGACACTTATGGTTGATTTCTGACCTCTTTAAGCATATCCTCAAACACACATGTACCTGTGCATAACCCACCCCAAAATAAATTTATGATGTTGATTTCACGTTTTGATTTAGGCATTGGGTATGTAACTCAGTTTTTTTTTTTTACTACCCACTTGAAATATATATGTAGTTTAACCAGGTGGTAGTGGCACATGCCTTTAATACCAGCACTTGGGAGGCAGAGGTAGGTGGATCTGAGTTCAAGGGCAGCCTGGTGTACAGGACAGCCAGAGCTACACAGAGAGACCTTGTCTCAAAAGCAAGAAAGCAAGCAAGCAAACAAAAAACATAAAAGGAAAAGAGAAATGTATATATTTTTAAAAAATCACAAAATCTACTCATTGGTCATTTGCTTGGATATTTGGTATTGCAATTTGAATGTAGAGTTCTGGGAGAGACATAAAGTAAACATGGTTATAATGAGGTATTGGGGAAAGTTTATGTTATTAATTGGAAATAAAATTTTAGCTTTTCCAAGCATTGCTCCACGAGTCTTATAGGAGCTTGTGTATAAAGTGAGAGCTCATACGAGGGCTGGAGTCTCGTGCACTGCCTTCTTTTCAAGCTTTGAAGTAGATTATTTTTGGTCTCTACCTTTAAACTCATTGAACAGGAAGGTTCTATATGAAATAAGAATAATCTGTATGGTCAAGATGTCATGTAAGCTCCAGCTTCCTTGTCTGGAACACATGGAAGAAAATGATATATCATTAATAAAAAGAACTGCCTGGTTGTGAATTAGAACCACTATGATTCATGCTGAGGCAGGAGGATTGTAGCAAGTTCAAGGTTAGACTTAGTCTACAATGTGAGTTCCAGCTTAAACAAGGGAGAGACCTTGTGTTCAAAAATAAACACAAAATTGGGGCCAGTGAGATGGCTCAGCAGGCGACTCAGCACTGGCTACCAGGCTTGATGACCTCAGGTCAGTCCTAGGAACTCACACAGGACACAGAGAGACTGACCACAAGTTCTCTGTCCACTACACATGGACACCATATAAATAAGTAAATAAACAAAGAAAAAAACCTTAAAAATGATTATCAAAGGAATCCAAAATTGCAACAAAAATGCTATTTATACTATGGGCATCATAATAATATCTTTTGTGTGTGTTTTTGTTTTACAGCCAGCTCCAGAAATGTTGGGTGAGTCTATTTTGAGTTTTACTCTAGATTTCAGGCCAAAGAATTTATGTGGTAAATCAAAAGGATAGAAGCACTGAGGGTATACTGATGGTGAGTGGAAGGCAACCAGCGCAATGAACTTTGATCAAACACTGGCTGCTTTGTTCACCAGGGAACATTCCAGAACCCATCTGCCCATCTGAAAAATAGAAATACAAGAAAGGCTAATATGGTGGCTTTCTGGGTTGAACAATTTTAGACATTCATTTCCTATTTAGTCACCTAGTCCCACCTTCCAAGCTATATTTACTGACATACTGAGTGACCAATGTCTTATTCCCAAAGTCAACTGACACTCAAGGTGTGGAGAGGACAGAGTGCACATCAGAAGTCCTCTGTCTAGTCCTTAGTCTGGCTCACAGGAGGCTCTCAATTGATTAGAGTCCCAATCAATTAATCTATGCAAATTAAATTAGAATCTGAGGCAACAACTTGTTTCCTTCTGATTGTTTGATTAATGAGATTATTTTTCCTCTCATGAACATAATGGTCAATGTTGGTTTTTTTTTGTTATTTCAGTCAAAGATATAGATGAGGGAATTGAACGAGACATATTTGATATCAATGAAGGTTTGTGGATTTTTCTTCATTCTTTTTTATTACCATATTTAGATAATTTTAGTATTTGTATGTGTGTGTGTGAGGGGGGGGGAGAAAAAGAGGGAGAGGGAGAAGGAGAGGGAGAGGGAGCAGGAGAGAGAGAGGGAGAGAGAGAGAGAGAGAGAGAGAGAGAGAGAGAGAGAGAGTGATTGTGGAGGTCAGAAGAGGCCAAACTTGGGTTGTCAGGGCTTGGTGGCAGGCGACTTTTACTACCTGAGCTATCTTGCAGGACACTTCTTAATTTGTTTTATTATCATGTTTTACTTATATATGATGATGACTTTCATTATGGCATTTCCCGCATGTATGTAATGTATTTGGTCATAATGTAATGGGTCATATTGTCCCACTGCCCTCTTTACCCCCCTCCAATTTCCCTAGACTCCCATCCATCTCTACCTCTTCTCAACTAGTCCCATCTCTACTCTCATGTTTGGTTTTGCCTCCTGTGAATAGATGAGTGTTGTTAGGGTTGCTTACAAAGCCTGGGTGGGGGGTCAAGAGCACGGGCAACTTAACAGTGGCTAATCCACTGAAGAAAATGTCTCCCCCACCCTAAGCAATCATTAAACTGCCCATAGATCTTTGGGGGTGGGACCTCGTGAGCCCCTCTTCCTTTGGAATTTTCAAAGCATCCTCCATTATGTGGCATGGGAACCCAATGTAATAACAGGCATTTAATTCTTCTTTTAGCTTTGGGACTGGACCTTTTTGAGGGAGACATCAGACTAGAGGTGAGTTGCAATGAGGCTTGCGTGATGAATCACAAGTTCAGTGGTGAGTAGCTGAGGATGAATGGGCAAAGGCTTCTTGTTGAGACACTGTCTCTGAACTCATTCAGTGAGCATGCTGTCCTGAAGGACTCATGTATCTGCATCTTCATCTTGCATCGCTCAGGTTTCTGTGTGGTAAAGTCCACCATCACTTAACATATGTGTGGTGCTCTAACTGATTCTATGATTGCAGCAATAAGGAAAATGTTCATTTAAAAACAGCCTCACTGTCCCACCACCCAGCCCAAAGTGTGTGTGTTGGGGGCAGCTTCACTGGTTTAATCTAGTTGAAGTAAAATAAAACTGAATTTGTAAAGCTCACCAATTTTTTATCATCATCATAATAATGTTATTATTATTTTGCCCCACCCCCACATCAGCTATAAATAGTAATGTCAAGGAGGTGTTCTCCCAAACCAGTTTTTAGAGTGCAGATCCTGACCTAGCTGTCATGACATACAGATGAACATATGTGTAGGTGTATATGTGGATTAAGGAGGTATAAAATGTCACTGTCTTACTGGACATGGTGTCTTGTTACACACCTTTGATCCCAGCACTCAGCAGGCAGAGGCAAGTGGATCTCTGATGTCAGGGCCAGCATGGTCTACATGGTAAGTTCCAGGACAGCCAGGGCTCCTCAGTGAGACCCTGTCTCAAAAAAAAAAAAAAGCAAAAAAACAGACAAACAAAAGTGAAGTGAAGTATCCTAGGCACTTTTTAAAAGAAAATCAAGATATGGTTTCTTTTTTGTTTACCATATTTTTAAAAATTTAAGAACTTACCATCTTTTTGTAGGTGTTAGAGACAAACAGAGATACTCAATAAGATGTTTGTGATTCTTATGTTGAGAAGTTTATGTAAACTTAAAAAACAGAGAAATTAACAAGATCACTCATAATTTAAGATGAATTGGATAATGCCCTTGGAAAAGGACATTATCCAGTAGAACTTTTTGATCTACAGAATTCCACAATTCCACAATTTCCCTACCACACTTACTTCCTTACACTCTACACGTCAGAGGCTCACCTCTCAAACCCTCCTTGAAGAAGCAGAGCTGTGAGATAGGACTTGTGGTCTGCTATGTGGCTGAAGCAAGAGAGCTACAGGTTCAAAGCCTGCCTGGGCTACAGAGGAAGCCCCAATCTCAAGATGAAAACTCAAAGAGAAGCTGGGAATGCAGTGTAATAATGAGGGTCTTGTTGGGTCTTATCCTAATAGCACAAAGACAAGGGGAGGGGAAAGGCAGAATAGGACAAGGAGAGGGGAAGAGGAGAAGGGGGGGAAGGCAGAGAAAGTGTAGGGAAAGGGAGAGAAAAAGGAAGGAAGAGAAGAAGAAAAGAGAGGGAGAGGTTCGGGACCCAGACGGATGAAGGAAGGAGGAGAGAGGGAGAAGGGGGAGGAAAGAGAAAAGGAGTAATTGAAGGAAGGGATGAAGAGGATGGGGAGAGGTAGGGAGAGGTATACAAGGGTAGGAAGGAGAGAAGAAAGGGAAGAGGGGGAGGAGTTACCATCGAAGGCTTCTCCTGGTCCCGGAGCCTTCTTTCTCTCTGCCTCCCCGTCTCACCTGAGCCAGGGTGAGACACCTCCTCTGTACCAAGGACTGCCAGTGGGTGCCTCTAGTCCTGCCTTGTCCCCAAACCACAGGCTCCATTTGTACACTGCATGTAAGTGTCTACAAGACACTGCAAATCTGAGGCATCCTCTGACTCTTCCCACTAGCCCTCCCCACCAGAGCCCTCCCCTAGAGCCGTCCTCTCCAGCTGTTCATTGTTGCTTCACTTATTTCATCTCAAGGAAATGCATAAAAATGTCAGGTGTCACCTTTGCTCCTAAACTGTCCCCACCCTTTGCCAACCCATTAATGTACCTGCCATCCTCTCTCCAGCAGTCCTGAGTCATACACTTCTCCCCAGCATCATAATTCAAGCCCTGTCACTTGGTTCTTTGTATGTTTCTAATTCGTCCTTCAAATATTGCATTTCTTTCTCCAGAATCTTTCTACCCAGAAGCCCATTTCCCATAGCAAAGTCATCCTGTCGAGAGGTGACTGTGGGCTGAGAGATGGCCTTGGGGATAAAGCACCTGCTTTTCGTGTTTTTAATACTTAGACATCTACCAGTATTTATAGTGTTGTTTCCAGAAATCTTTTTTTTTTAGTATCATTTCTTCTTTTACTTCATGTTAACTATAGAAATTAATTATTTATTTCTGTAAACTTTATTAATTTATGGTCAAAATTCAGACCCATGCCACATTGGTTTGAGCTAGCAAGAATAACTGTAAACTTCACTTATTTCCAGATTGACTATTGATTGGTTTTGACGAGTTCACTTAACTGGTCCTTTTCACATTTATTTTTGACAGACACAAGGGAAGAATTCCATCATTGGAGACAACTATAGATGGCCACATACCATTCCATATGTTCTAGAAGATAGCTTGGGTTAGTACACACTTTGGAGTGTCCACAGCTACTGTGTGTTCCTGAGATGATAGATTAACGTGTACCAGAATGGCCTTGTGCCGTGTTAAGGATTTTTGTTGTTGTTCCTCTGTGTGGCTATGTATGTTTACTTAAAAAAAGCAAAATGAAGAATTAAAGATCTTATATAATTCAGCCTGAATATATGTTGGGTTTTGACCAATATAAGGTCAATTCCGTCAACCTTGATGGAGAGCTTGCTTGGTGTGGAATTCTCAGGGCATAAACGTTAGGGAGACACTCTTGGTTCTAATAAGGTTTGTTCTAGACTTTATTGCTTATTTTTAATCCATAGTCTCTTTCTCCTTCACTTCCCCTTCCCTCTCATTATCCCCACCCCCATGTGTCTGTGAGAGCAGTGCCTGTGGTAGACAGAGAAGAGTGCTGGATCCTCTGGAGTTGGAGTTACAGTCAGTTGTGAGCCACCTGACATGGTGCTGGGAGCTCAGGTTGGGTCCTCTGGGAGACCAGCAGACTATTGGGGCTGGTCATCTCTCCAGCTCCAATAGTCTTTATTTTAAAGTAGCATTTCTTCATGTTTAGTTACTTATTTATTTCTTGCAGAGCTGATGATGGAATCCAGGGCCTTGGGCATGCTAGGACATGGAGCACCTCTGATCATTTACAGACTGTAAACAGTCTGTGATTAAACAAAAAAGGATTCATTTTTATTATTTTTAGCTTTGTGTATGTGTGCATGTCTGATGAGTGAGTACTACATGTGTGCAATGCCTGCAGAGGCCACATGAGACATAGAGTGCCCTGGAGCTGTTTGGAGTCATTGCATGTGGGTTCTAGGAACTGAATTCCAGTCCTCCAGAAGAGCAATATAATAACTTAACTACTGAAACATCTCCACAACCCTAGCCCCAGCACAGGGTGTAAATAGGAACAAATCCCACAAAATAACCAATCAAACCGATTTATAGAAAATGGCATTGCTTTGCCAAGATTTTATTTTGCCAGGTCCAGATGCTAACAAGAGTCCTCTATCTTTTATTTTTTCAGGAAACAAATAAAATTCCTAGTTTAGTATTAAATCATTAAGAATTCAGAAGAGAGTTGTGGAGACTGCGAGCATTAGGATGAAATTCAGATCTTTAGGACCCACATAAATGCTGTCTGGTGTGGGAGGCAGCTGTAATTCCATCCTCCTTGGTGATAAGGATCCCCAGAGCAAGCTGGCTATGGAGACTAGCCATACTGGTAAACTCGGAGTGTTCGAGAGACCTTCCCTTAATGAGTAAGGTAGAAGAGCCAGGGAGGACGAGACCTGATATCATCCCCAGATTCCACATGTTGTGCACATATGTGCATGTGTACCAGTGAAAGTGCACCCTCATGCACACATATGCCACATGCGACACACAGCACACACACATGCCACATGCACACACATGTGTCACATGCACACACACATGCCATATGCACACACATGTGTCACATGCACACACACATGCCATATGCACACACATGTGCCACATGCACACACACATGCCACATGCACACACACACATGCCACATGCACACACACATGCCACATGCACACACACGTGCACACACACAAAGGAAAAGGGTGGGAGTAGTCAAAATAACCTAATAAAAAACTAAGAAAAGCTCCTCATGTAGAACAAATTTAGACTGGGTGTTTGTTGGTAGTACACACCTTTAATCCCAACACTTGGGAGGCAGAGGCAGGCAGACCTCTGTGAGTTAGAGACCATCCTCCAGGTCCAGAACAGCCTCCAAAGCCACAGAGAAACCCTGTGTCGAAAAACCAAAAAAAAAAAAAAAAAAGAAATTTAGTTATGAGCTAGGTATAGTGGTGCACATGTCTTATCCCAGCAGTCCTCTGGAAAGAAAGGCAGCATGACCCTGAGCCCTGGGCCTGACCAAGCTATGAGAGAGAGGGAGGAAGAGGGAGAGAGAGACAGAGAAAGACAAAGACAGAGAGAAGGGGAGAGAGACAGAGAGAGGGAGGGAGAGACAAAGACAGAGAGACAGAGACAGAGAAAGACACAGAGACACAGACACACACACACACAGAGACAGAGACAGAGAATACAAGCCAGCCTGGCTCATTTGGGAAGAGCTCATTTCTCTGTGGACTGGTGAAGCAGTGCCTCTGACAAGCATCAGTTTGAAAAATATCCTTTGGGGGAAATATGAAAAATAATGTCTCCTTAAGAATCAAGCATATCTTGGGCTGGGGATGTGCCTCATTTGGTAGAGCGCTTGTCTGGCATGCATGCAGCCCTCCACGTCACACACATCATGGCTCTCC